TACTAAGGTTTATCACATTATGTGGGGTTGAATTTTATTAATTCTGTCTTGTAACATGCTCTGTCAAAATCACATTCTGATTTTGGTTTGAATGCATCTCATCCCTTTTATGCTTAATTTCAATACTTCGTGATCTATGTTTTACATGGTACCGGAATTTCTAAAGGTGTATGTGACCTAACCACCTTTAGTGTGTTTATTTCATGTTCTTATTTGTTGGGGCCATCTCCATTTTCTTCTGGGACGATTCATCACTTATTCATTTTAGTCCAGTACCTTTGCAGTTCATTTCTTTCTTCTTCTTTATTTTTTTCCTTTGATATGCTTTTTTTGTTTGTTATCCATGTTCTTATCGGTGGTTCAAAACTATGATCCGTTACGCACAGTTGATTCATGGCTGTTTTCAACATTTTATCATTCTCAATTTTCATTATTCATGTTTGTGTTTACCGGCCCAACCCTTGGATTCGTGATGAATTGTTGACTTTGACTTTTCAAAAAAAAAAAAAAACTGTCATATTCTGGTAACATTTTGCACTTGCTCCTGAGCACCAGCTTCAAAAAAATAAAAAATAAAAAACTTTGACTTTGACTTTTCATTGTGGAGGGGAAGCAGAGTTATTGGTCAACATAAAGAATCATGACCTTGTTCCTGAGCACCAGCTCCTTATAGCCCCCTTGAGAAGAAGACCTTGCTTGAGAGATACACTGTGAAGGAAACACGGGTTATTTTTCTGTAAATGATGTGTGTTGGGGTATGGTATTTGCTTCTACTTTTTGATGGTTACGCTCCAGGATTTATTATATCTTCAAGTGGGTTAATTGATGTTCTCTTTTAACAACATTGCCTTTCTGTGGAACTTTTCTCAAATTATTCAACAACTCAACAACAGCTAAGCATTTATTTCATGGAATTGTTGTATAGATTGTATATCATTATCACCTTCTAGTCATTTAACTAGATACTACGTGATCTTCTAATGGACTGAATAAGCAGAAGTAGAACAACTATCTAGTAGTATTTTAGTATTGCACAGTAGTTTTGATGAGATACTTGTAGCTTTGTTGTTTTTTCTTATCTGAATGTAAATAAGTGCTTCTATTCCTAGGCAATGGGAAGGTTACAACTCAGGCAACTAGTGTTAGGTGCACGGAACACCTCCTTGAATCGTCATGCCCCTTCTTTTTTAATATCAGGTTCGGTATTTCTTAGCAAATGAATTAAAGATTGAACCAACCCGCTTAAAAAAAAAAAAAAACTTCCATACGTATACGCAGTCAACAACATTGAAAAAGAGGTTATACCTGATTCTGCTTCTCATTTCCAGCAGTAATAACAGAGAAGCTTCTTTCTTGGTGGTTTTATTATCATAAGTCAACAGGCTTCGTAAACAAACATGAGCCCCCATGGCCAACTAGATTCTCAAGGAAACACGATATGTTGTTATATGGTAGAAAAGAAACAAAATCGATGAATGAATAGGCACCGAGACCGAAGTTTCCAAAACAAAATTAGTAAAATTATAATCGTTTTCCCAAGCAAACCAAAATTTTGTACATGCAAGCAAGCTCAACCTTGAAATGTAAAACTAATTACTCCTGGACTAAAATGTTGAAATGGTCCCTTACATTTGAGCTTACTTGAATTTACGTCATTAACATTAACATTTTAATATCGTAGTCCCAAACAACATGTTTTCACACTTTGTTAGTCTCATTTCACTGTTGCGACCACTTTTCCGTCCAGCTCGATATTGACCGGTACTTGACATGCCGAAATCAGAAGCATTTTCGTCTTTTCATATAATGTAATCTTTCATTGAAATTTAAATCATTAAAAATATTATAAAATTCACATTTCATTATTTAATTGTTAAAATATTATTTACTAATTTAAAATATTATTATAAAATTAAAATTTACATTATTTTTAAAAATTAATTTTTTTATTAATTACGTTTCATTTTTAACCCCGTATCGCTCTAAAATTTTGCCCCGCTATAGTAACTAATTCAAAATTCAATTTTTTATTTAAAAAGAAAAAGTGAACTAAATTTTTTATCCGAATTTTTACCTGTTAATTTTTTATTCGGTCAAAGTAAAAAAATCCAGCGGGCCCAAAGGTAAGAAAATTGAGGGGACGAAAATCCGTATAAAAAATATTTTATTTTAATTTTTAGTTTGAATGAGAGATATAATTTAAAATGTGGTTTTAGTGAAAATTCAAAAAAGTTGTTGGGATAGAAATTTAAATAAAATTTTCAAATAAAAGAAGAAATTTAAATAAAATAATATTTTTACACCACAACCGTCGCTGTCTGCTGCCGGACCACCACCACCTGCCGCCGTCGAGCCACTGCCGGCGAGCCAAATTTTGGCCAAGTCTCCAGAATCTCGTCAAAATCCGGCCGGCCAATCGCCGGTCGGTGGTGGCGGTAGGAAGTGGTCCGGCGGTGGTCAATGGCGATGGAGGTGCGGAGGTAGTGGTGTAAAAAAATATTATTTTATTTGAATTTCTATTCCAATAATTTTTTGAATTTTCATTAAAACTATATTTTAAATTATATTTTCAATTTAAAGTAATAACTAAGCCAAAAACTTAAATAAATTATTTTCTATCCGGATTTTCACCCCACAATTTTCTTGCAATTTTTTAAAAAAAAATTTGAATTTTGAATTAATTATTATATCGCGGTAAAATTTTAGAAATAACTCAAGATTTATTGTAGTGGTCAAAGTCAAAAATCTTGGTTTTGTTTTTTTTTTTAAAAAATGAATTTTGAATTATTTACTGTGATTCGATAAATTTTTAAAGTTACAGTGGGCTGGGATTAAAAGTGCAACATAATTAATATTTACTTTGGTAAAGAAAAAAATAACTTTGAAAATATTTTAAATTAATAAATAATATTGTAATAATTAAATAATAAATATGAATTTTTATAATATTATGAATGATTTAAATTTTAATAGAAGTTCAAACTATATAAAAAGATAAAAATACCCCTGATTCCGGCATGTCAACTGCCGGTCAATATCGAGTTGGACGGAAATTGGTCGAAACAATGAAATGGGATATAAAAAAAAATGTGAAAACATAATGTTTGGGGCTACGATATTAAAATATTAATGTTAAGGACATAAAATCTAGTAAGCCCAAATATAAGGGACTATTTGGACATTTTAGTCTTGCTACTACTAGTTAGAGGTAATTCTAAAACCGCTGAACAACTGCAAAGAAAGACACAAATTCAAGAGCTGTAACATTAAACCTGGAGCGCTGGAAAAATGATCCCTGGAAATTGGATTGCTGTCAGACAAACTCCATTCCAGTTTATATAGGCTTTTCGATCTTAGTTGCTAAACACCGTCAAACTCATTTCGATGTCTCGATTTATAAACGTTTTCTTCATTGTGCTAAAATAATGTTAACAATTGTGACTTTTATTTTAGTAAGTATCGGAAAGTGTAGGGAATTATAAATGTTCAACTATGGTACACAATTAAAATCTGGCTCAAACCTTACCGCTCAACTTGTTAAACTTTATTTTGCTCAATCTCGTGTAACCACATCAAGATGATTGTTCAGTAACTAAAATCATGTATGAATTAGATGTTTTTTTTAGAGGACAGATGTAGTCAAATCTGAAAAAAAAAAAAATCTTATGAATTATACTCTATTGTTCCAAAAAGAATTTCCCGGTGACTTTCTATAAAACAAAAAATACTTTGAATTGACAGTATTACTCTTATAACTTCATAAAAAAAATATCAAAAAATATAAAAATTGTAGGAAATGAAATCTGGACCAAGCGGCTCCAAGTCCCAACCGACTCAAACAATGAAACAATAAGAAAATCTGGTCCTAATTTCCTAATCCTAAAGCTCCCCAGATCCTTTCATTTGCCTAATTCTCCTCTCACGATCATCATCTTTGCTCCCAAATTTCTCCTGATCGATACAAACACATGAGTTCAGAAATTCAGAAAGTTGCTCCCAAATACCTCAGAATGTTTTCTTTAAAGAGAAATCTAAGTTGAAAAAAAAAAAAAAACAAATCAGTAACGTCATGTCAAATCAAAGTTGCAACCAAAAAAACAACAAAAAAACAAATCATCATCATCACGATCAACATTCTAATCTGAAGCAGACAAAAGACCAAGCAACTACCCAGGATTTAGGCTTTCATTTTTTTATTTTATGATTTTTTAAAAGAAAATATAAGGGTGGTACTCCCAGTTTAAAATATTTTTTTATTTTGTAATTTTTGACAAATAAATTACCACCCTTTATGAAAAATATTTTAAAAGTCATACATTTTTTATTAATTTAACTTGTTCTACCAAATTTCCCCAAAATTTTTTCACTATACTATCTGGTTGAGGTAGTAAACTCCAAATACCTGTGCATTATTTTTCCCCAATCCCAAACTGGCTCCAACCATGCTTTTAGGACAATCACTTGTCTATCTATCCTGTTTCGTTAGTGAACTAACAATTTATTTGAAAATAAAATAATTTTAACGTATTTTAAGTTATTATAATAGTGGACATTATTGTGAGGCAGGCATGAGACACCAGTGAATCGGAGGATCAAGTTAACGAAATTGACTGTCCATACTGACATCCAAGTATTGAAGCTCCAGGAAATGAATCACAGATCCTTCTCTGATCCACCCAGGAATCTTACCAGTTAACTGAACCTGAAGCAGATACAAAAAAAGAACAATGATTTCTTTTGCACATTTAATGAAATAGAGTAGAGGAGGGAAGAGGTTAGCGGAAGCATCGATTTACATGTTAGATTGAAAAAATGCATAACCATGTGGTGAAGATTCTATCTCTCAAACCTACATACAAACTAACAAATCTAACTAGCGCCGGCAAGTCAATGCAACCACTATATTCCATATCGAAGGACCAAAAACTATAATACAACATTGTGATAGAACTTTGAGGCGGCAAAAAATTCCTCGCATATACATGAGCACCAAAGGCAACTCAAACACAGGCCCTGTTGTGGCAGTTAGCTCTCTTCCACAGATCAACTTCTAACTTGAGCTTCTCCAGACCTAGTTCAGCAGCAATAAGTCTAAGTACTACTTGTACCAACTCCCGCACTCTAGCTTCTCTGCAGAAAGTGAAAGGGAAGATACATAAGCCAATATCTACTGTTATTTACAAGGTAATTAGACAGATTAGGAAATGTCAAAATCCAACAGCATGAGAAATTAAACAGAATTCAGTTTTTGTATCCTTCACCCACTAGATTTTTAAAAGTAAAAGTAACAGAAACTAAATGCTACTAAAAGGCATTTTTTTTAAATGTACGAGAAAGGACACCACTATGTGAACACTTCTCCAGATCTGGTGCAACTGCAAATGACCAGGAAAAAATGAATACGTCTTTAACAGTAATGATTTGTAATACTGATAAACTAACTATTTTACTCAGCAACAGAATACAATTGCAAATTAATAGTTCCTTTCTTTTTGCGGATCTAAACAGAAAAGAATACAATAATAACTAGAGGTTGCTATACCTTGATACAACAAGCTCACAGAAAGAGGGGAAAAGCACAAGCAAATGTGTACGTCCTCCATTTTCCTCTGAGAGCCCTTCCTTCAGCATATGACGCAAAGGAAGGGCAGATGCTGTATCTGAATGAATCACAAGACGTGCTAACTCCTGAAGCACAAAAATGATTTCTTCCACTCTAGCAAGAGGCAATGGACGATCACCTGAAGTTAAAAGTAGATTGATTCACCTTGATGTCAGAAGAAGGAAAAGGATGCCAGAATAAAAAAGAGAATTTTTAACACAAGTCGAGGGAAATTAAGACAAACCTAAATCATTTTCATCCGTCAAAAACTTCTTCAATATAAATTCACATCTTGACAGTAGAATCACAATTGATACTTTGCTCAGATCAGATCTAAAAGGATTCCAGTCTGCGGATCCACGAGTATAACTGAAAGGGAATTTTAAATGTCAACAAGGAGCAATTATACAAAGGAAATCAGAAACAGAAACATGCTAAAACTCAACTCTAGAACCTTCTCACTTACTTGCTTAAAGAAAATAACTTCTGCAAGCAAGCCAAAGAGAAACGGCTGCAGTATGAAGGCATAAGCTCAACAGTTTCAACAGGCAAAGAACAGGTACGTGATGCACATCGGTCTAAAGTAGACACTAGTCGCTGTAAAATCTGTGAATGTCAAGGTATTTTGCAACAAAATCATTAAAGTCATCTATTAATGGAAATTTTATTTTCTCATGAATTGATTAATATAACTGCGCGAGCTTTAACCAAAAAAATATATAATTAAAAAAAAAAAATTATTGAAAACAACACTGAATATTATGCATTTTGCAAGCATAGTTAACAATGTCGTTAAATGTCAACTATGCTTACAAATATTTGCAGAAACAAAATGCATAATATTCAGCAATGTCAGTAAGTGTCCAGGCGGAATCAAGTTAGAATAATGCTTACGTCAAGAGGTGCATCATTCTGACATTTAAGAATCTTGTCTGCCAAAACGTCTAAAATATTCATCTCTAAGGACTCATCAGCCTTAAGCACAGATGGAGTGAGAGCACTGGAAGGAAGGGCACGCCCACAATGGCCAACCAAAAAGATTTCATAGACATCAGCTACTTCTTTCCAGATATGAATTCTAGATGCTCTGGGAAGATCTATGCCTGTGTCTGCAGTAACTTTGGTCACATCATGAACAAGAATTTGATTCAAGCCTTCAACGGCCAATCTCCAAAGTGAGCCTTCAGGGTTATCGCTTCTCGTAACCATACACCTGTAGAAGAAAAAGAAAGAAAAGTAAGTTATTGGTCCTGAAAATGAGTGTCTTGCCGAGCGTGAATTCTGAACATTTAGAGAACACTCATTGAGTGAACATATGGTCTCAAAATAAAAGGCGCATCAAACTAAGAAACTGTACATTTCAAGCATAATAGTGAGTTAACCATAGCCACTTTTTCTTTCACTTGACTGAAAATACTCCACTTTCCAACAAGATAACATGGTCAACATGTACTTTTAAGAGTTAATCACACTGGCAAGAAAATAGCCCTCAAGAATGGGGATAGATCCTTTGGTCTGCGTTTCTGCGGATGGGGTACCTTACAGAGCAAACCATGCTAGCAGGAAGATAACCCTTACATTAAAAGAAATAAAACTACATAATTCATTCACAAGACTTGAGTTCTTCCACTAGTTAAAAGCCTAAATTGACACCAATACCAGGACTTCAAAGGAACTATTATGGAAGTCAACCAGACAAAAATCTCACCTTCCCAGAGCTTGAATGAGATTCGGAAGAATACAACACTTTTCCACAGTAGGAGCTTGTAAGAAAAGATTCACCAACACAGGAACAAGCTTTTCTGTAAACAAATGGCCGGAGATGCTAACTGAGTCAAGATTTTGAGAACCCTTCTTCTGTGATGTTGAAGCATTCCCATTAGGTACGTTGCTCATATTTTTAGTACCTGAAAAGAAATTTAAAACAAAAAAGTTACATAAGTATGGCAAATGGCTTCGCTATAACTAGGGTAGATGGTTTTGCTTAAGCTCTGTATTTTACCATCAGCTGACTCCAACTCATCCCCATTGTTTCCTATGACAGCATCAGATCTTGGAAGATACTCCAGTAGTTTTTCAAAGAGAAGTGACCACATGGAAGAAAGGTTTTCTGCAGGACGTAGAAGTGGGAGGATCTCAAGTGCAGTACGCTGAACAGGTGGAACATTGGCCTAAAACAAGGGAATTCCTCACATTATTACCAAATAACGTCAGAATAGAAAATAAGGCGACTTTCAAAATTAGTAGGAGCAATGATAAGCTGTTGGAGTCAGTACAGCATCATCTACAACTTCTCTGAGATCCAAAATAGTGTTACATTGAAAACAAGAACACAAGACTAATAACAAGTAGAGAAAATGAGGAAAAGCTAAAGGGTATTAAAGATCAAACAAATGTACTGACCAGCAGAGCCTCACATACATGGAGAACGAAAACCTAATTCCCATACGGGAGTGTGCAATAATAAAGTAGCTACTCATGGCTTAACAGAGAGAAAAAAAGCAGAACTCCCCAGATTACATCCTTAAAAGATAAGTACTCACATATTCGGCCTCAAAGTTATTATTGGCTCCTTTGATTGCAGCATCCAGGACAGAGAGTAACTGTCTATACATGTCACTGTCGAACATCCCTCGCGCTTGCACGTATAACTCTCCTGCCAAAAATTTGCATTGAGGAGAAGGTTTAAGTATACATCAGCAAGACTCATTGCGAGGTCAACCCTGTCATAGTTTTGAAATAAAATTAAAAAGGGAATAAATTGAACTCGCTGGTTTTCTTCTTTTTTTTTTTTTTTTGGCTTTTTGGAAAAGCAACTCTCTGGTTTCATACTAAACGAAAAAGAATTAATCAGCCCCAATAAATAACACTTGTTTAACCACTTCCGTGTATGCCGTTAAGATTTTATAATCTGTCCAAGAGAAATAAGACTTTAATTGTTACCTAAACCATTCAAAATCTCTTGTTTGATCCTGCTTGAAGCATTATCACTGCAGTTGGGGGATTTTTGGAGAACAAGCACGTAGACATCAATTACCGATCTAAGGTATGAAATTGGAAAGTTTCCCTACCAAAAAAGGAAAAATTTAAAATCACCAATTCATTGTTACATAGGAATGGGTGGATAAACGCCATTAAACAAACATATTAATTTTCATAAGAATCAGAATCAAGGAAAAATTTAAAATCACCAATTCATTGTTACATAGGAAGGGTGGATAAACGCCATTAAACAAACACATTAATTTTCATAAGGATCAGAATCAAGGACACCCGTGTAATACATCATCAACAGAAGTAAGGAACCAAAAGCATGTAGGATTAAGATAGCCAACCTTTGGAGAATGGGAAACTACTGTTGTTTGTAAGCAATTTATTGCTGCTAAAGCAACCTCTTTGCTACCATTTAAAATGCTATTCTCGACTAAAACAAGCAATGACTCCCATCCTGCACCAGTAAAGATCATAAAATCAGAATCATTTATAAATATCTAAAACCTAATCCATACAAGAACATATAAGGTATAATGAATACCAGACTGAAAGTTTTTTATTTCCCACAGAAATGGAAAGAAGGATCGTAAAATCCGAGCTATTCCACCAAGCACCAGGACAAGAGTTTCATCCCATTGTTTTTGAGCCGTGTTACGACTGCAAACTCATCCCAAATGGTAGTTACAACACAGTAGAAAAGAATAAATAACTGCAGGGGTGAGAAAGGGCAAGGAGGGTCGGGTGGGTTTGTTGGGGAGGGTTTATAGTTCGCAAAACTTGAGGCAAGCAGAATTCATCTACCTATGATGTATGAGCATATGGACAGCTTTTCCTCCTTTAGTTCCAAGTTCTTTCCCCTGCCATTCATCCCTAGACGATGTTGCAGCCTGAAAGCACAATAGTTTCAGTTGTCAAACAGAAAGGGAAGAGGAGTAACTTTTCCTTTCAACCCTTTACTTACCATGTGGGAAACACGGTCTAATGTTGGAAAAACATAATTCCAGAGACAATTTTCCCACATACTTTCTGAAAGCTTCTGCCCGTGACTTCCAAGGATTTGGAAAAGTGTCCTCACAGCAGCATTTCTAACCTACAGTTAAAAAGGGTGATATAAAGTCAATGCGCCATTATCAAGTTAAGCATAAATCCAACTTTGTAAAATGCAAGCACATTGTTAACACGTTCATTGGAACCAAAATTTTTCGGGTAATGATAAAACTTTCTTAACTAAACTCAATTGCAGCTTTTCTTGTTCCATTAGCATGTAAAAAGAGAAAACAATATGCCCAATAATGTGTTGAATAGCAGCTGACACAATGTTTTCAAACAAAGATAGAGCAATAACAGATCGGTAACTCAAAGAGGCCATACAAACAACTCAAATAACAGGTTTACAGATGAGTCAACCACATTACTAATTTCCATTAGCAGGGAACCAAAGTTCCCATTATCTTGCAACATTAACCCCTTTTTTTTTGCATAGATACACTGGTCACCCGCAGCATTTTTGGTCAATAGTTGACTCCAAATGGTTAAGTTCCTGGCAGAAGCATCAATAAAACAAGGAAGTTGGACAAGGATGATATATGGGTTGAACACTAAGATTTTATTCTATAAACAAAGGGATACTGCTTAGCCAAGAAACGAAGCTACATACCAACTATAATTGCTCAAAATACCCAGGCTGGAATAATCCCAGCGACAGCCCTTTGAATTGCTCAAAGCCCTTCATGACGCCATTAAGATTCATTTGTAATAGAGATATACTATATGATACGAGGGGGAAAATAGCCAATAAAAAAATAAAAGCCATGAGCCCCTCTAAAGGTAAGCTCCTTGTGGTTGCAACTTCGTCACAGCGTGTGATTATCCAGTAACATAACTGTCTCAGACAATGTGTTCTTCAGTCGAGTATGCAGAGTTAGGCATAATGCAAGATAAAGGACATGCATCTATTTAATTGCCATAGTGATCAAAAGTTAGGATCAGACACGTCACATAGTTTCTGGCCATGATTCATCTCTGTTACAATGAAGCATCATTTGGTTCGCACCAAAGCAAGCATTTAAGAATCAAACAAAATGTAATTCGTGAGAAGAATTTCAACCTCTGGCCTTTCATCAGCACCCAGCTTTTGAAGCAGCGAGAAGACAGATAATAGCAATGTATCGCGATCAACAGTTAGGGACCTTAGGGTTAACTCTTCATCAGATAAAGCAATGGAAGAATTAACTGAGTGTGACATCCTATCACTGTTTCTTTCATCTGCAAAGATAACGAATTCAAAACAGATCAATGTGCAAGATTCGGTCACATATATGACCTAAGCAAAAGCAACAATGCAGAAACCTGCTTTAGTTTCTGTTTCCATCTGATGCCCATATGAAGCTCCCTTGACGATAAAATCGGTGGATGTCCATAGCAGACCAATAGCTGTCAAACTTATATTCAACTCAGTCAATTGCGCACTGAAGGCTCCCGTTACATCAATGCATCTGTAGAAATATTTACAAGCCGTACATGTTTAGAAGATGGATTCGTTATTCTTTCCTGTTATATAAAACTACTTCACCTGCACGGATACAGCTCGAAAGACACCATAGCCCTTTGCTATCAAAAGTCTTTGAACAGTCAAATTGAGCTAGACCTGTTTAGCCGGCATTAATTCAACTACAATGCACTATCGACATGTTCTATATTAAGCTGCTGAAAGCACTATCAACTGCAATTGATCAACAAGGAACTTGGGGGAAAAAAGTTCAAATTTTCAGAGAATGGTGCAGATTGAAAAATCTAGTCAAATTCATGTGTATAATTTCATATGGGGCACCTTTAACATTGATGTTCTTAACAAATGACAATATCAACTTATCAGCTTCTTGTTTGTGATCAGTATCCACAGAAAAGAACAGAGTAATGGAAAACAGGGAACTTACACATGGAGGCAGTCAGCCGGTATGGATGAGAGACCGTCGTTCATAATCACACGAAGACTCTGGAAGAAGAGAAGAATATAAGTGACTTTTGAGGTATCAGAATTCAAATTCAAGACAGTTAACTACTCACAGAAATAAGCATGGCAATTGCACGTAAACAAGCAAAATCATATCATATGATAAGAATGCAACACATATGCAAGGAAGCACATAGCAGGCCATAAGAACAAAATATAGATCCATGGTGAAGTTAATGTTAGAGAGGAAACTAACTTAATCATTCGAAGCCTTTCAAGACTGTAAGAAAAGCAACTTGAGCTTTCCTTTAACAGAGAATAGGCAGATAGGAGGAACATAAAACAATTCTTACAGATACAGAGCTAATATTAAAAGGCTAGCAAGGAAATGACAAAATTGCACTTAAAAGTGCCACAAGAGCCAGTTAGGTTTCCAGTTACCAAGACAGGCTTCATTACAGCAAGTGCAAGACTTCAACTCTTTCAGTGTTAATACCGAGTTTCGACAGTCAAATTAAGAGTGTTAAAAATCTAAAGAGATGGTGTAAAATTGCTGGTCAAGCCTATCCCACAGACAGATTTCCACAATTATCTACCCCTTCACCCATTTCACTCCCTACGTAAACGAAATATTCATCACCATTTGCTTCACTATTTTTCACGGGGAAGGGGATAAATTTGAAACTGAAACCTCTTGCAGGAGAAGTGCGGTAACTGATGTTTTGAACTTCAGTTTAAACTGATTCATTCCCATTTTTCTCACCTGGAATCCCAAGGCAACCAGATCCTTTTCTAGGGCGAGAGCAACGGACCTGTAAAGTATGAGCATAAGGTTTAGTTTTGAGACGCTTCATATTAGCTAAGTTTTGAGATGCTTTACATTCTTCTTAAGAAATCAACAACATTTTAGTATGAAAGAACCTCAAAGTTTCAAGAATGTTTGGCCAGCTATAGCACAGCTTCTCCCCATGCCTCTGAAATAATAAGAGTAAGGAATAATTTATAGATTTACAAGAATAGTTGGCCAAGTATGCAACCTGACAAATACTACTACTTACTTCTAAAACATGAAGAAGAATCCTTAGAGACCCAGCACGGACATCAAAACTTTGTGAGGTGGAATAAAGAGCATCTAAGGGAGCAATGGCAGAACACTCCAGAGACCTCAAGTCCATTGACTTTGGCTGCATCTGCAGAGTTCACAATTAAGGACCAAATAAGCACTTGATAATCAAATCCCAATTTTCTTCACGGTAATGTTACTTACATTTGTATCCATTGCAAATGGAGCTGTAAGAGTCATTATTGACAATTCTTTCAGCTTTGTGCTAATAATGGATTAGATCAAAATGGCTCATTTAAGTTCCGACGCTTCTTAATTTGGTGAAATTGCCGGAAATCAATATATTAATGCACCAATGCATCTTGGGCCGTACTACTTAAACAGCCTCTCTGTATTGAAATACAGGGGTAAGGCTGCGTACATCTTGACCCCCCAGACCCCAACCGAGTTGGGAATATACTGGATATGATGTTGTTGTTGTTGTTGTTGTTGTTGTAATGTTACTTACATTTATGGCAACAGCACGGTTTTCCACAACATTGCGCCCTTGAAAGAGATCAGAACCTAGAACAGCACAGATTGATTTATCCAAAGCATCCAATGCCATATTGCGTAAATGCTGGCTAGAGCTATCAGCAAGCTACAAGGAATTAAAGATCCCAAATCAAAGGAGGATAAGAAAATGAGATTCATGAAAGGCCTACATTTTCAAGATGATAAACATACCTCGAGGAAATGGCCTACAATGTCATCCCACAATGGCTCCACTCCTGTTGAACAGTTTGGCATAATTTTCGAGTCAAATAACAAGTACAACATATTCAAGTATCCAACAAACACAAGCTTCTAAGAAGAACATGACACGAAAACATACTCCAATAACCAATACAAGTATGCTAATAGATACACTGGCGAACAAACACAAGAACAAGCAAACACGAAGTTAATAAAAGGTACATAACACTAGGAGTGCTGTCCGAGAGAGAGAGAGAGAGAGGGGGGGGGGTGTCTTGTGAGAGGGGGGTGGAGAAGAGAGACGGAGCATAGGATTCAATTATTCTGAGGGCATCATATTCAATTTCTGGAACAAGGAATCTAAAAAATATAGACATAAATCTCATCTGATCAGAGCTTTGATTGAAAGTGCTAAATCCTTCTTTTATTTCTAGTATGTTCATTACAACTATAAGTTGCAGGCCTATTTTCCTCCGCTAAATACTGTACCCCTAAAGGAAATTGGAATTGTGCAGTTTAAACATCAGTATGCAACAACAGCAATAAGAGAAATTACAAAAATTTACAGGAACTCATCTGAAAGAGAGCATCATACACGTTATACTTTCCACACAAAATACTACTTATTTTCCCCTTAGTTGATATCCAAAAATATACTGACATTAAGTGAAAACTCAACAATTTCCGGTGTAATTTTAAACTTACGGTGAAGATTGTTGACTAAAATTGTAAGCAATCTCTCCACTGCGAACCCAATGCTACCCAGCTTTTGATTGGATGCTTGACTCAAGCTACCAGAAGTAGCAGTCATGTATTGATGTGACAATTGACGCAAAGCAGATATAAGCGATTTCACAGCAGGCACAGTCATCAGAGCAGAGCTCTCAAACAGCTAGATAGTACAAAGTAAAAAAATAAGAGAATGTTACAGATGACATGCTATATCGAGCATAAAACCCTTAACCCTACAACTTGACAACAAAAAGTACAGATAACAGGAGGGAGGGGGAGAAGGGATGAGGGGATATAGTAAAGGAATAACTGAAAAGAATCATAGAAGAACCTGCGAATTCAGCGAAGATAGAATATGGAAGTCACTATATTGACCAGAACCAGAAGAATCTCTTGTAAGTCTTGGTACAGCAGTGGATACCTCCTTCAAAAATGTAGAGAAGTAATTTAAGAGGCTTTAGAAGAAATTTTGAAGCAGTGCCAAAAAGCAGCAGTTCAAGATAAAAAAAAAAATGTTAACAAAATCAAATAAAACATGCCCAGAAGGAGAAAAGGAGTGGGAGAGAGAGAGAAAGAGAGATCCTCTGAAGCAACAAAAAGAGATACTATCAAAATAGAATTCAACTCAGCGAAACAATACACGAAATCGAAGAAACATCATGCATGTCATGAATGGATCTTTAAAATCTTTCCATTTTAACAACAGTATGGAGTTAAGCTGAAGAAAGCCTTCTCTATCTTTACAGAACCATGAAAAAAGGATAGTAAATCAAACGGAGATCTGATGAAATACTCAAGAAGAAACCCCTAATTTACCAACTTTTAACCTTCAATTATCAATACGCAGGCTCTTCTAATAATGTTCATATAATGTAGGACAATCCTCACAAACCAGAGGACTCACTTTTCAGCAAAGTCAGATCTTGCTATTCAGACATAAAGCAAAAAAAATGTACCCCTGAATCACCCAAGAATGTCAAAACAGTATCATTGACTTCTAAGCCACTCCCCATGTCAAACAAAAGAATCGTTGATGAATACATTGGTTGTACCTGCGTTGAAGCATGGGGTGAATGAATCGCCCGGTCAAGAGCAGCAAGCGTTTCCAGTACCTATACATATTCAGAAAGGACATAAGATGACGTGATCTAGACTTATCCGAGTTAACCCATTAACAAAAGATGCAATAACATACCAGAACCCATGAAGGTCCCAAAAAGTTGTGCAGTCGATGGGCTATATTGAAAAGAGTTCGTAATGCCTGTTTCAAAAAATGTCTCACAATTAAGAAAATAGAAAGTTCAATTATGTACTTAAACTAAATTCACTTAACAAAACTAACCTGCACGTTTTTGGGAGTGAGGACTATGGTTTCCCTCTGATCAATCAACACTTCAGACCGCTTTCCAGGTGACTGTACCACACTGCATAAAACTCTAAAATTATGCCAAAGCAAGAGAGAGAAGCATAGCAGCAAACAACTGATAAACAGAGAACATAGATGAATGTGAAGAAAAGAATAAGACATATCACTCAGTGAGTGATACCTAAGATTATCTGGTTCAACGTTTATACACCTGAATCTATAGTCTTGTACCTCGGAGAAGTTAAAATGAGAATGTTGACATGGATGTGCAAACATACTAGACTAGTTGGGATCAGTAACCAATACAAAAGGAAAAAGTGGGGGTACGTCTAGTAGTTGAGAAACTGACAGTAACACAGTTCGACTGGGTTGGACAAATGTGCAAGAGAAACAATGATCCTTAACTCAAAGTAAGAGGGGAAAGGGAAGACCTAACAACTTGGAAGAAACAATCTAAAAAGATATGATTCACTTAAACCTAAAGAATGCATCGTTTTAATAGATGGCTGGATATGATCCCCGAACCAGACACAGCAATAAAGGCTTAATTGTTGATTACAACTTAACAGATGCCCAGTCTCGCCACCAAAGAAACCACAAGACAAAGACCTTGATGCAGAAGAAAAGCCAGAAAGAAGAAAACTTGCAAAAAGAATTCAGAATGCAAAAAGCCCATTGCATCAGAAGCAATGCAGCATACCTCTTCTTTTCAACATCACTGGGCATATTGATGGTAAACTTGCAAAGGGAAGCCAAAAAGGAATTCAATGGTTCAATAGCACGAAGAACTCCACAAGCCTGAGAAAGACAAAGGAATCAATTACCGTCACCTGAAAGATTTGAGAAAATAATGCAACAAAAACTCAAAAACACCAATCCCATGAGAGGAACAGCTAAATACAATTGACAACAGGTTCTTCCCCATGTTATAAGAATACACAGCATCTGAGCAGCTACGGCATTTAGTGCAGTGCAATGACTCTCCTACCCAGCCCCTATACCCCAAAAGAAATAAAAAGTATCCTCGTCAAAAAGATCACATCTAAAACTTGCAGAAATCAATCACCTGAGTGAAAGCTTGATAACCCTTCAGAATCTCCAACACAATAGCCTCTCCTTGTGACCTCCAATATCAACTTCATGTCAGCATGAGCACTTGACTATTTTATACTGACTTTTATAAATAGAATAACACTTGTACCTACTTTGCTAAGATCAGGGACAAAGCATCAAGGATGATCAGCCACATAGAATCAACCATTGCCAAACAAAGAGCCGCAGTCTTCCCAGTGCATTTTTCTGATGGATCAGAATCACATCTGGGGGATTCAATCTGATTCCTCCAAGATAAACAAATAATAAGAAAGTTGCATACGTACAGAAGGCGTATTAAATATGGTAAAAATAAGAACGCCACAAAAGTGGTACTAAGCACAATAAATGTACAACAGGTATTACGTATACCTCACCGACATCAACTGCCTCATCAGTCAAAGTAGCTACAGTAAAAACAACACCCAGCAAACCCTCAATAGCCAATGTTACCGAATGGGCTTCGCTTGCAACCAAGACAGCAGCATTTGATGCATCATTGTCTAAACTCCACTCGATCCCTGGCACAATTTAAGCTTTCATGTTCATGCATACATCCCACTAACAAACAAGTGAAAACTGGAACATTACAATTTACCAAATCTGAAAGATAACTTTTCTCAACATAGGCATGACACCTTGGGGAAGCAATTTTGTGTCCATTTACAAAAATGATGGGTTTATAACAAGCAAGAACTCATTGACCGCTTCACAAGTTTACCCGAGACTAAATCATGTTGTGTATTTGTTTGTTTCCTTTTAAAGTCGGGAATTTCTTTCATAAATTAAATTCCAAATCAGGTCATGTCTTACCCTGTTTAGCTACATTCACTATGACTTGAAAGAAAAGCTCCTAACTGCAATCTAGATCATGAAGGCTTCTAGAATACTCATTGGAACATTATTATGTAAGAAAAATTTGCCATCAAAAGTTTCTTTCTATTATGAAGTCTCACAGCTTTATTCTCATGCTTTTCACACAAATTTTCCTGACAGGAGAAGGTGCGAACAGGATATAGAATAGCTACTGAGGCTTTTGTTCAACCTGGTAATGTTAGCTATATTATTATCAGAATGGTGTTATTTCAACATCAAAGGAAAGACGCCAATTGCAATATGATTATAAGTAAATATGTCTGATTCTTGCACAAGTTTAGATAGCATAGGAATATACAATTTCAAGAACTTCCTACAATAAACTTTCTCTTAAATTACCTTTAGCTTTGCTGTTAAACATTCCTGCAACTGCAGCAAGGCTCTCTTCACATGTCTCCTGAAACTGTAAATAAACAAAAAATGTGATCAGTTTAAGTTCTTTTGTTTAGTTTGCCCAAAAAATAAAAAATAAAAAACAAAAAAAAAGGATCTTTTGTTTCATCTACAAGGTTCATATACTGAAATAATTCAATAAGAAAACATCAAGATAGGAAAAGCGGTTCAAAACTGAAAAAATTGGAAATTACTGTGATCCGGACAAAAGGGCAATAATTTGATTCTCAATCAAAACAATGGTGACTTTTGAAAAGCAAAACTTACAAAATGAATTTTATGCACAAAATCCCAGGAAATACACCACATCAATGAAATCAAAACTCATATGATTTCCATCAGACCACTTTATCATGGGAGAAACAAGGACTAAAACCAAAAAAAAAAAACCCGAAGACACGAAAAGACTATAGCACAGATGAATAATATCCCGAAGGCACGTCCTCTTTACCTGTACATTGGAGACAACTCGAGCCAGAGCTTTCACCATATCCTCAACTATATTTGTGTTTTTAGGATGCCTGAAGATAAAAAAGTAAAAAAACAAACTATTTATATCCCCCAAGGGTAGAAACAAAACTTTATCCACAACTATCGAATTTATGCTCTGTTGAGCGATGTTTATGCTTAGCTACCAGCTTCCTACGATGAAAAATAATCGTGCAACATACAAAAGTTGTGCGCACCATTTATGCTTAAGGCCAGTAAGGTGCCATCATTACTTTCAGGACCCCACAGCTTTTATCCACTTGAAGAATAGTGTCTGAAGCTATTCCTCAGTTTAGGTTCAAACAAAGCCATCCATGGTAAGTCAAACCTTTACCAAACATTTCTAAGGATTGCTCCTCTGCACTTTGTCTACTACATTTTTCTTGACAACATTTTTCCCTCCGATAGAGCATCAATTAATATTAGTAAAGGTGGCATAGGGCTTGATCAGATAGGAATCTTACATGTCAAAATTCTGAAAAAGTATCCGTAACGTACGCACCTCCACGCAGAAACCCTGTCAATTTCAGCAAAATAAAAATGTGCAATTACGTAGTGGCTTAGCACAAGACTGAAATAACCTAGCAGGATAATTTCTTCTTTAGGACGACTGAACATACCCTCAAGATCTCAAGGACAAGAATTCGGTGCCACAATGGTAAATCCAAAGATATAATTCTCACCAACATGCTAAGGAATACCTGCAATGAAAATCAGTTTAATTCAATCACTCATAGCAGATTAAAATGCTTTGGAATGACATATTCAGTCAACTATGGAAACAGTTTGCCAAAAGTACGACCGAAAACTGCAAAATTCAGACAAAAAGCTATATTGGACATAATCAAGCCAATTAATTGCAGATATGCAGCGGCAATGAAATTAATCCTTGAGCCCAAAAAAGTGATCTTAACAGTAGCCAGCAGAAATACTAAAATATTAAATGCTTTTATGTAAGATTGACATGTATGAATATTTACTATTTCTTTCCATTTAACCTGCAGAAGGCTACATGGTTTGCCCAACATTCACTATTCGAGACAAGACTTTAGCCCCTGTTTTTTGGGTGCCCCTCTTAGCTCTCTCTATGAACTCAGTTTTACTACTCGCCATTTACCAAAGCATTGATTAACTGACAAAAAACAAAGATTCAAACAATAACTCAAAAAAAGGCAAAAAATTACAAGAAAATCGCACCTCTGATTCTGTTATAAGTGTTGAACTGTAAAGCCTAATAATATGAGATACTGAACGAAGGACCAAACGGCGGAAGTAAGGCTCTCCTGCTTCTCCCTCGAGCTGAATGAAGAAAAACAAGACAACAAACAAGAAAAAATGTTACTCTTCTCCTCATGAAATATCACATCATATAAACACAATGTCAACTATATTATATATGTATATATATATACAAGAGTACCACCTCAGAATTTGTTCGAAGTGACGTCATAAGCAATGAGCATATTTGGCGACGTAGAACCTGTATGTTTTCCAGGATATCATTCACAGCTAGCACCTTTGGAACAATGATAAATCTGAAAGATTCACTACACCTGTTCATAAGGAACCAAGTTTCTGAACAATGCAACATGGTTGGAGAGGACAAACCTGAATAACCAAATTCAGAAGCCAACATAAGTAAGAGATTTCATCTGCAATTATTTTCATAAGAGATAAAGAGGCAAGCATATATAATCAGTTTTTACAGTTGACGTGTCAAGTTAAGCAGAAGCAGAAGTTTCAGGAAGTGTTAATTAACATCGATGCACCTTATCATGACGTTACCAAGAAAATGTTCCCATACTTAGAAAGACATGTAAGATTTGTGGATTCACATCCTAAATTCTTCAAGTGTTGCACAATATTCATTTCTCATTCCGCCACATACAAGACAGTCAGGGATCAAGATTGGCAGGACTAAGAGACCAACACATCTTAGACGGCTTAAAACAGCAGGTTATAAAGCTTTTCTTCTTTTCTAAAATAACCCTAGTAAAAGAATGTAGATAAAAACTGAAGAAAAAAAATAGGATGCGATGAAAGGATACAAACACCTCTAAACAATTCGAGCTATTAAGAAGAAACATACACTAACAGAAGCAAAAATGTAAACCTATTGGGTGAAAAATAAAAAATAAATAAATAAAACATTGATGTCCAACCATAAACACCTTGAACATCTTCTCCCTATCTTCCAACATGAAACACAAATCTATGTAAGGTCTTCAAATCCATTAATGCTTGAGGCGCATTCTTGCCATTTTCTTTGGCTCTCCAACATACTAATTATCATCCCAGCTTTGTCCACAAACCAAAGGCCACCCTCAGAATAATCTTCAACATATTGTAAACAAACCAAAGCCAGCATTCTTTTCACTGACTCCTCAAATTTTCATAGAATTGTGATTTGGAATGAGCATTTATCTATTCTTTTCAAACTATAACTAGATACTTACTCCCGGCCGTTGCCCGGCGTGTTTGTACACTATATTATATACTAAATATACTGATGATATAACTGTTTTGGGAATGTAAATAAGGTAAAAATGGTTTTATTTGATTATATATATACATTAATTAGAACAAATTTATCCGGTCGTTTCCAGAAATATAAGAGAAGCACATGGATGATAATATTGAATAATTTAGCCACTGGAATATTTTGTTTCATATTTGAACAATTCTTGTGGCGGGACGTAGCATTGGAATGAGTATAAAATCCTTATTTTATTTTTGTTGGTTAATGGATTTCTTATTATTTTTCTGTTTATATTTGAGCAAAAACATATTAAATCAAAATCAGTTCACTCAAAAATTTTTCGTGGTATCTGTGTATGAATTTTTGAGTTAATTTTCCATCAGGATTCTAGGTCATATAATTTTGAAAAATAAGCATAAATGCTGGGTTTGTCATTGTTCTAACCGTATGAATAAGACAAATAAGCTTCACATTTATAATTTGTTAATCGCTCTGTCCCAAAAAACAAATCTAAAAACTCAATGTGGACTATTTTATTGGGACAGGGGGAGTATTATATATGGGCGGAAAGGAATACTTGATAGTATGGCATGTTGAGCTGTATGGTATTTAAAGTTTTTAAACAAATGCAATTGCTAAATGTTATCCATTATGAGATATTAAGAGTGTGGTCTTTTAGGCAGGAAAACAACTGAGGTGGCGACATGTGTCCTCCTGACAACCACTTTATAGTATATAATATTAGATAACTTTTCATCTTTCTTAATTTGTGCGCTAAGGAAAACATAGAAAGTTTGCCTGAAAACTACGAGACCCAGAGGAAAATAAAAATCATTCTCCGTTCCTCACATCAGTGCAAATGCAGGTAGTCAACTTATTCAAGTTTATTTGACACCAAGTACGGCCATGAAGAACTTTGGAAGAATAAACAGGAGAAAGGATTCTCACTCAAGGATGTCGAGAGCAAATGCTCGTTGTATTGAGCCAACTCGTAACCAGACGCCCTGAAACAATGGAGTAATACGAAATTAATTTCTAACTGTCGGCAAACGCCCAGCCCTACATAATGACATAAGGGTTTAGCTGTTGTAGGCAGCAGATATTGCTTAATGTTAATTAAGAATAACAATAAACAGTGTAGCTTCTAAAACAAGGAGGCACTGATATCTACTTCAGGAAGCAAAACAATTCATGTTAAAATAACACATACAGATCCACCAGCAGCAAGAGCTGTCAGATCCTCAAGCAAGCGCAGTCCGAGCTTTCCAGAAGTAGATAGAGTACCCCTCGTTGAAGATGGGCTTCCAGAGACAAAATCCAGGTCTAGTGCCCTATCCAGAAAAAGGTTCAACCATTTAACTTTTGTACAAAATTGTCGACAAAGAATCGTGTAACTATGAAAGACCTCAAGATCAATCACCTCATTTACAGGAAGATTCCACAAACTCACAACTAGCAAAAATCTTTCAAAAAGAAAGAAACTCATCTTAAAACTTAGACCAAACTATCATTATTCTGATAAAACACAACTCTCGAAGCCACAAATGCAAAGAAAGGAGGATATAAGGATACAAATATTGAGAACATTACCAAAATACCAAAACCATGAAATGAATTTACGTACTCTAGGCGGTTTATATTCCGATTAACATCACTAGTCACTGAATTAGCCCGCGAAATGTACCCTCCAGAACCACCTTTACCAGAAGGAAGTGACTCAGCAGAAGCCACGTGATCAAATATCAACGCTACTGCCTGCCGGAAGGTTGCTGCAGCAGTGCTTCAAAAAGTAGCACAGGGTGATAAGAACCGCTTGCTTTAGAGGTTAACAGAAGAATAAATTAAATAGGGCGAATGGACAGACAAACCAAGGAAGTTGAAAATTTCCACAGTAATCTGTGGTAAAAAGGTTTGCATCCTTACTTCCTCACGCTATCAGAAGATTTATTGCTTTCTAGAAGACGAAGACAGATGCCAAGAGCTTGAGCCATATTCTCCTGAAAATAAATGAGGAGTTTTACACGATACAGAATAACTGCAAAAACACAACTTTCCTTATCATCCTGATAGAAATTACCATGATAAAAGGGATTTCGTCGTACGCATAAATCATCATCCAGAAAATACACAGGCATCATCTAATACAATTTAGAAGGGAGGAATAAAATCAAGGCAAGAAAATGTACAGCATGTTCTGATTAAAGATTAGACTGCAACTCAACCACGGGAAAATGAAAAGTTAAATGGTCCAGGACAACAGAAGCCCCAACAAAAAAGAAAGCAACACTGCTGCAACAATAACATTATTCGCTAATAACTACACTTAAAAGTGTTACCAGCAAGACCATTAATCCAGAGAAAACGACAAGGGCTGATCAAACGGTATCTAGCTTTTTTTAGATCAAACGGAGATAATCAGTTTAAAACAGGGAATGAAAAGAAAAAAACAACAGGATAATATTCAAAATCGACTTTGAACAGGACAAAACTGATGAGTTGAGATCATAAATACACTTCCAGATCCCCACAACAGCATGCAGAACTGCACGTTCTCCTCAGAAAAATCTTATATTGAAGTATGACTCCTGCTTGCTCTGTATTGGTGCTAAGTGAACAAGAGAATGCAATAGCATAGAGAAGAATAATGTGGTCCATACCTCATTATCAGGTAGCAAATGAGACTGAAATATTATAAGGATAGTCTGAAGGGTCTTTAGCTGGATGCTATCATCTGCCATTTCACCATGCTGCGAGCAAATGTAAAGAGACAAAAGCCAAAAGACAGGTAAGACAAACATCATGCTGTAAAGGAAATTGATTAAAGAATTTGATGAATAAAAAATTAAAGCAACAACTTAAAACAACAGTCCAAACAGGCAAGGCAGAGTTATGACTAAAAGGGGCTTGTGAAAGAATAACAATCCAAGAACAAAATGATGCAGATAGAAAACATGTAGATAGATGCTCCTAATTCCTCCAATCTTGTTTGCTGCCAAACATGCATAACTCTGGCTGCCATTAAATAAGAGGGAATGAATAGCTAGTTAACCTTATAAAGCATGTCAAATAGTATTACGATTAAATAGATAAGCAATAAAAAGAAAAAAGTGGCAATCCCAGTACATGTCAAGTTCATAGGAGATTTGAATAACAAACCTTAACCCCTGCATAATAAGAGAACCAAAACGGGTGAAATAACCAAGGAAAAAAAAAGAAAAAGTAAAGTTGACATAATCTTCAAAGCTTCACGCCTTTGATATAAAAACCTTGCAATTAGAAAGCTGCAAAGAAAAGGCATGGAGCCATTGAAATATGCAGCGTTGCTTCCTTCAAATTTTATATTGACCTTTCCATAGCTTACTTAATTCCAGAAGAGAACTTGAAAATCTTAAACTATTCCACAACAATTTTTGGTGCACTTCAGTATTACACAGGAAGCAGAATTCATTTAATCCAATATCTGTATATTCTCCAAGAAAAAACAAATCACCAGAAGTATCTAAACAAATGAACACCATTTTCCAATCTGTTAATCAGTTCCTCAGCACAGTATATAAGGTTTGTAAAGTTCTAAGTTTTTATACTTGAAGGTCAATCAAGGAGCTACAAAGTTGTTTCCTGTTGAACACGTAGAGCTACATGCTCCCAAAATTTCCATGTTGTTGATGGTTCTATAACTGTAATAAAAAATCATAAATATGCTTCACCTAGGGCAATTTCCATGGTTAAGATGGAAAGCTCACCAGATTCTCTATGCACAACAATGATTTTGGGTGGGGCGGACCTATGGCAATTCAGAGCGGATGTGCAAATATCAGAACTATCTCAAATGAAATTCAAGGAAGTATCCAACCCGCTCAAGTGAGACATAAACTTTACCCTATTCTAAGATTCATAGCGTACCACTTCTATCAGTATCAGGTGTCCGAATTTCATGTATTAACCATCTTGCAACTCCAGTTTTTTTAATATAAACCAAACACACAATTATGATACCCCAAAAATTTGTCCATACTGGCTCTACAACAGAACACCATCTTATACATGAAATGTATCAGAATTTCATAATATGAAACTAATCTCATTTCCCCAGAATTCTAAAGCTTCACCAACTGTCACATTTTTCTTTTCTTTTTGGATACCAGGAAGGAAATAATTTCCTACTAAATAAGCAGGAAAATCTAATACACGTAAGTAGTTATAATCCGAAAAGAAATTTTTTCCTGATCTCAAGTTTTAGAGTCCCAGTAACACAACGCCAAAGTGACCTGTCTGGAATATAAAAGCTATTGCTTAAGCATTCATAAAAGCAGAAACTTTACTTACCATCACTCAAACTGTAAACCACAAGGTGAATCTAGCAAGAAAAATGTCATACCTTTTTAAATATTATGTGGCATAGCAATAGCATCTCTGATTAAGATGGACAAAAGATCAGAAAATTGACTGTTCAAATGTTAACTTCAATTTAAATTAACCCTAGACATGATTGATGAAAGTTTCTCTAGAGACTAGTAAATTCTACCATTAACATGGTTATCCCTTCTTCAATTACATTATCAGCTGAGGATATATATGTTGATCATCCCCCTTTGTCTATACGATGTTCATCCAGTTGAACTTAGCAGATATTCACGAATTACACTAAGAACCTGTGTGCATGGATTGTTCAGACAATTGCATTTTTTGAATTTTTTTTCCCTTTTTTTGGTGAAAATAGAATGTTTAGATTAAGAGAAAAAAGGGGACTGGTTATTTTTGAAAGTAAGATTTTAAAAACGTTCAAAATGATCACTACTAAAGTATCATCTTCCAGAGGAAGGAAACTCGTAGCCTGAAAAAGAAAGAGGATTTTCAAACTTCCCAACTCTTTCTCGCTCTTCATTTGCGTAACAGGGAAAAAAAGTTGATATTGCTCTTACCACTATCGAATTTCATATACTTTCTAATAATAGGATTAAAAACTGAATACTTGGGGCACTTCAAGCTCAGCAGCCTATATGCATAACTCACGCACAAATCCAAGATTCTAGTTAACAGAATTTAGAATTGATGAGCATACTGGCAGTGCATACGGATGCTTTTTCCAGATTAGCACAAACAGATACTAAATAAGGAAATGAAACAAGTACAAAGGTGATTTTAAAGCATCCGGAGCAAAGGTAAAGATAGGTGAAAGAAACAAACTGGAGGCATGTCTTTATCATCATATCACTTTCACACAAGCTTTTACTTCCTAGCACTAATACCCACCCTCCAATCATCCCCAAAACTTTCCAGCGAAAAATAACCTGAAAAAACTTTGCTTCATTAAACTGACATCTGAAATGTTTGATGTAAGGGTTAAAACGCTATTTATGATTAAATAAAAAAATAAAAAAATATATATATATGAATCAGGATACAGGACTGTAGTTTATAATCAACTTTTGAGGCTACTCAACTGAATATGCTTAAACCAAATTAACTTACATTTTTAAATAGATATAAGATAAATACAAAAAGCTTACAAGTCTTTGAAAATTTCTATGATGAAATACAGCGTTTCAAATGTGAATACTATACTGACAGACCATCATCATCTTCTTAAGATACAATTTAAATGTAGGACTTCTGAAACTTAAATGCACTTGCGAAATCATCTTTTCAGAAAAAAAATTATTATTGGCTACAAAGAGCAACTACAATAAATAAAAAAGTTTTTAAAAATTATAAGGGATTTTATGGAAAAAATCACAACTAGGAAATTGTTGAAGATAAAAATTGTATATTGAACCATAAAAATAATTAGAAATCGAGATTAATATAAACGGAAAATTCAGCTATTGAACAAAATTATTACTATTATCAATTAATCAAGGGCAATTCTGAATTAGTTACTCAAATACAGCCTTTAAGGTTAAAACATTCATGTTTTATCGAGCTATTCTAGAATTTGATCATATGGAGTCCGCATATTAAAAAAGATAACCCTCCATTAATGACAGAGACATGTTTTGCCTCCATACAGATAGTTATTTCCTACAATTTCTATGTCTACACCACCAAAAACTTCATACTTTACCTGCTAAGGAGCATCAAAGTCATGACAATGACTGTCGATCACAACTGTCCTAATTTTTAAGTCTATAGGTAGCTGGAACATAATTTTGTGTTCTTTTAAATAATATTGCTAGAACCCCTTCACCTTGTTCTTATTAACTATGCAGTGTTATATTATCAATGTTGAATACACAAGGAATTAGCAAGCACGTACAATCTTATACTATCTGAAAAATTAACAGACGACAAACAAACGAATCTAAATATATCAACAAAAAGGGAAAAAGAAATATTAAGAACTTAACAAAAATAAGTTAAAGGTCAAAAGGAAACAGAAATTCTCCAACAAAACAGCACCGACATAAGGTAAAAGCAAAAGCAAATAACCGCGACTGCAAAACAAAACCTCATCTACAACAGTAAAGCTTACATCTTTTAACGTGGCCAGAATCTCCTTCAGAGCAGACGGGGGAACTGCGTCGTGTGAAACCAGCTTTTGTAGGCAAGACAAACCTAACACACTCAACTTCACCGTCTTAACCTCACAAGCCATCAAAAATATCCTTACAATATCCTCATTTTGCGCAATTTCATTTGGGCTCGACAGTGACCTAAGCTGCAAGTTTTTGACACAGTGCATTATCAGTGGACATGATCTCATGTTAAAAAAACTAGAAAAACTCCAATGACTCACTAATTAAATCACCAAACTTCCCAAACAAACTTAACAAAACAAAAATGACATTATGATAAAAGTTATTCTCTGGACAAATGAAATTAAGTTGCATCGCATTACATCTCCTACTAACATACATCCACACAAAGTAAAGTAATATTGTAAAAGCCAAATTAACAAATGTGAAAAAATTATGAAAATCCTAAATCTTAAGGCTCTGATTAAATTTCTGATGCGTAAAAGGAAAAATAAAAAAGAAACAGCAAAATAAAAGTTAAAAGTTAAAATTGATGGAAGTATTGATTCGCAACCTTAAGAATTGCGTGCTCAGCGGCATCTTTGACGGCGGGGTACCGGCGGCGAGATTCTGCAGAGAGAGCACGTAGATCCATCTCCAATACTGCCATCAGGGCAGTCATTGCTTTCGCGTGAGAAAATTATCCACGGAAAAATTACCTGAATGGGGATGATCACAACTCTGTGGACGCGAAGGGGATGGGGTTTAAACAGTGGACAGAAATTTTTATTCAGGGATCCTTCGAGATAATTTTTATTCAGAGGTTTCAATTCAAGCTTTGGGGAGCACGGGCTATATGTAAATTAGTCATAGTGGCGGAGCATTTAAAGAGAAGGTACCCAGATCTTTCCCAAACAACTTCAACCGCTTCAGTCTCGTTGCCGGCTCAATCGATTAATTGCGCAGTGAGGAAATCCAAATGGATCTCTCAACTAATGATTACCATCTCATACAGTAATCCGAACTCCAATAGGAAACAAATATGGAGGAAGGTGACGCCAGTTGTTTCCCAGCCCACAGCGACCGGAAAGAGGAAGCAAACGGACGATACGACCGCCGGTCAGTGCCGGTCAATTCCCACACCTCTGAGGCTGCCCGTGGGATCTGGAACCATCAGCGATGTCATCGTACCTACGCAGCCGCAAATCCAAGAGGTCAGGCGGTAAAGCTTATCTGCTGAGTCATTTGCGAATATGGGCCAGTTCTTGTTGGTAGGCCAATCTGTCACGACACGGTGGCCGGAATTTCAGAAAAGGAGAAATTGAAGGTGGCCGGAGGAATTAGGGTTCTGATTTGGGGGAAGAATGAAGAAGAGGAGAGCAAATTCCAATTTGATATTAATGTTAAACCAAATTGAAAATTAACAAATTGATATTATATGGACACTATCATATAAGGTAAATTCAGGGATCCTTCTATTATAATGTTAATGTTTATTCAGGGATCCTTCTATTAAATAGTACACTATTATATGGAATTTGGTAGCATTAACAAATTGATGCTACCAACAAATTGATATTATATGGGTCTTTCACAAATCCGAAGGTTCATTAAAATTAAACCTTTGGATTTCACAAATCTGACTGTCCAAATAATATTAAAATAATAATATTTACATTTCGTGAAGATACAGTCAAAAAAGTCAAAAAATGAACATTATACTTCGGAATTGTAAATTCCGAAGTCAATAAAATTGTCGAGGGTAAATCCCGGAAATGGAGCTGACGGTCCGACCTGGACTGGAACCTGCAAAAAGGAAGTTAGCACTCCGAAGGTCAAGTCAGTCCTTGAGAGAAGTAATTTATTACCACACTTAGAGAGAAAAAGTGGTAGTGTGGAAAAATTGAATTGCGATAAATGAATCAAGGAGTATTTATAGATCCCCAATGGGACAATACCTGTGGACCCCTTTGTCAAGAGGGGGGCAAAAGCGTAAATAGATATGTGTTAATTCTTTGTGGATCGCTAGGGCCCAAAAGAATTAACCAAATGGACAAGTCGGGACCATGAAATCAGCCCAATCCAGTAGAGTCGGATTGGGCTGGACACAGAGAAACCGAAGGCCCAATCGGAAGTGCCCAAAACCCAAAACCTTCCCTCCTTAGATCGCTACAGATCCAACGGTCGGGATCTTCTACATTCAAACGGGATGGACACCCAGGATTTCATGGAACGAAGCGCTGCAATGATGGCACCTGAAGGTACCGATGCGACTGTTCGCATCCCTTGGGGGGTATATATACGCCCCATAGGACACAGGACTTCATTTCCTTTTCTTTATTTTCTCTCCCAGGCGTTAACACTTAAGCTTTGTTTTCTCTCCTCAATTCTTTTCTATTTCGTAACCGAGGGCGCTTCTCAGCCCAGAGATCGGAGTTGAAGCCAGCGTGCGTACGTGGGTGAATCTCAGCCGACCACAGACAAGTAAGTTTCCTTCTTCTCTTGCTCCTTCGATTTACCAGATGGCCAAGGAAGTAGTTAGGGTAGAGGACGTAGAATGTTCGTTAACCCAAGAGAGGCTGGGCGAGCTGGAGAGCTATTACACCCTTACGGCTGTAAACCCCACATTACCCGAAGGCCATGAGAGAGCCAACACTCCTCCCCAGGGGAAGATTACGATACACGAGAAGTTCTTGGAATACGGATTGCATTTTCCCTTGATGCCCATGTTTAGGAAGATTGTAGAGGCTTATGGTCGACCCCTGGCCCAATATACCCCGAATCTCATAACCATAGTCCTGGCCTTCGTGCACGTGTGCAACAAGACGGGGGTGGAACCAGACATTTTCTTGTTCAGGTGCTTTTACAAGCTCGTCCGATACGGGAAGAGCTTTCCCGGGTGGTTCAGCTTCACCAAGAACCCACACGGACCATCCAAGGAGTTGGTAACAAAGAACGAGAGCTCCAAACATTGGAGGTCGGGATTCTTCTACGTGGATGCGAACTTCGTCTCTCTTTTTCCGTGGACATCGGACAAGGGAGGAACAGTCAGCTTGGATCCGTGGACCAAGAAAGACAAGAAAGATATTGAAACCCGGAGGAGGGACTTGGAGAAATTAGCCGGCTGGAAAAAGACCTATACCTATAGGCAAATCGCGTCGCTAAGCGACCGGATCAACTCTCGTAATCAATGTATCTTACCCAAAGACTAACTTTGGTTATTTTCCTGTCGATAGGTATATTTGCTAATTTGATGGGCAAACATTCGGTTTTTTATGATTCAGACGAGGAAGAGCAGTACGCCGAAGAAGGGCCGCAAGAGGTTGCCCCACCTGAGACAGGGGCAGCATCCTCCGGGCAGACGACGAGGACGCCCGTCGAGAGTTCTAGGAGGGGGAGCTCCTCCGGCCGATCCTCAGGTCACTTGAAGAGAAAAGGGGGGGCCTTGGAGGTCGTGGAGGTGGATCCGCTGTCTTTTAGCCTCCCCGCGATCCATGAGTTGTCCTCCCTCGACGATCTCCTGAAAGAAGGATATGCAGATTCGGCCCGGGGCACCGATTTGTTCGAGAACATACCCGCGGGCCACGCTCTACTGACCTTCGACCCTCCTCGGGTTGAGTGTTCGGAGTTACCCGAGACCGGGGCAACGAGGCTGGAGGACGGCATGAGACAGGTGAGTTCTTGTGTTTTTACTTCACAAGGGTACTCTCCCCGCAAATGTGTTCCCTCACTGACCGAGGATGTCCCCATTGCAGGTCGTGCAGGCAGTCAATACGTTTGTGACAGTATGCGTGGGCTTGAGAGAGTAGCTGGCCTCGGCCCAGAGGACGGCCACGAGCGAGGCCAACAGGGCCAGGGACGCGGAGGTCATGTTCAAGGCCTCGGGGCAAGAGAGCGCGTCTGGAAGAAGAGAGGAAGCGCCTGGAAGAGGAGGTTGCGAGGGTAAAGGCACAACTCAAGGACGCGGAGCTGACCCACCGCCTTGAGATGGAAAGTTTGCTGGCCACGAGTGTCCCGAAGTCCGGGCTGGACACGTACATCTTGGCAGGGGTCCAACGGTACCTGGGGTCGACCGAGTTCGCCCTCGGAATAAACGATGTTATGGACCCTGCCATGGAGAGGGGGGCAAGGAAGGTCGTTTTGGAAATCGAGGTGGCCCAGAAGAAGAATGAGGACATCCGGCCCATCCTCGAAAAGTATGCTGACAGGGACAGAAAAGGGAAGACGCCCGCGGTGCGATTGCGGTGCAAAGCCCGGAAACACTTCCGAGATATGGATTTTGCCCGTCTCCCCATCATGCAGCAGATTTCTGAAGCCTGCGCCTCCCTTTCTAAGCCCGAGACATTCTGAACATTCCGGGCAGTCCCTCGTTCGTCTTTCAGATGCCGAGGGGAACAGAAACGCCCCCCAGCACGCCACCGGGACCGGAGGAGGAGCCCGAGATAATTGCATCCGAGCCTCCACCCCAAGGGCATAACTCTGGCAGCCGAGGAGGAGGAGGAACGTCCACGGATTCCAACGCTCGTAGCGGAGACAAGGTGAACGATGCGTAGGGTTAGGATTCCTAGCAATCATGTCTCCGGGGCTCTCCCATTTGTATCTGAACTTTGATTATTTAAAAATGAAACTTATGTTTGTTCTCTGTCGTCTCTTGTTTCACACATTCGGACTTATCACTGTGTCCATCTCAACGGAACCATCTTAATCGGAAATTTTCAGTTTATAGTCTGCATATAAGCATCTGTCCTCGGCGCAAACTTGTTTTTATCTTTGGGAATGCGCGTCCATAAAGCTTGTTGCTAACACGCACTTCCTTACAGGGGAAGGGCACGGCTTCGGACTTCCCCTCTCATCCTGACGGAACCTCTCAGGGGTTGCCCGCGACCCCCGGTCTTTGGGAGACTTAGGGGATCCCGTGGATTGACATGCAGTTGCCCGATCCTTACCACGACCCTACGACCTTTCCACTTTACGCGGCCGTAGGAGGAGCCTTGGCAGATCCGAACGCCGATAGGGGCCGAGGGCGACTGTCAGGTCTCGAAGGGCAACTCGAAGAGGCTTTGCAAACCTTCCGGGCCTCAGAGTTGCATGAGGCACGTAAGGCCGTTCTCGAGGCGAAGGCCGAGAACGACCGGTTGGATAAGTTATGGCGGGATACGGAAGCTTATTGGGAAGACCATCTAAAGAATTCTATACAATTGGAGATGTTGGCTAACAATCGCCTTCGAACGTTCGAAGCCAAGATACGGAAGAGGAAGAAGGACGAGGGTTTAGCCGAACCCGATCCGGAAGATTTTATCCCCCGTAACTATTTTGAGAGCGTGCTGGTACACCTCCGGAAGGCTTACGCCTTGGTCGCCGTGAAGTGGGATCGTTCCTCTGATAAGATCGAGGCTCTTCGGGCGTATGCCGGACAGTTTCCGACAGCGTTGGAAAGCGCAATATCCTTCATTGTGGAAACGGGGATGGAATATGACTTCGCAGCATTGTGGCCCGAACCTTGTCCAGCTATGAGAGACGAGCCCACTTCTCCGACTCGTGAGGCCGAACGCTTGATATATGAGAACGATGCTTTGTTCTTCGAGTTGGGTCGGGGGTCTCGTTAACATGTGATTGGGTTAAGTTATCCCTGTATTTTTTGTTAAGTGTATAGATCTGAGGGCTGTGTGTTTGAAATTTTTAAGAAATTTAAGCTCCCTTTTTTGACCCTCGATCCCAACTACTTTATTTATTTTGTTTACTCGTTTTATTATTATTATTCATGCTTAACACATACACATGGCCAAAAATTTTCAAAAATAGAAAAATTTAATTTTAAAATATTACTTAATAAGTAAGAAAATAGTTCTTAAGAAACATACCTTTTAAAATATTATTCGGTCGAAGAGACTCAAAAAAATAAACAAGTAATATACCTTAATAATTTTTGAGGAAACTCCTTTAATTCCCCTCCTATTATATAGGTAATTAACAAATAAAACCAAATTCCTTTTGTCTTTTTTTTTTATTATATCCCATATGATATTAAAATTAGTTTTCTGGTACATATTTGACGAACTAAGTAATGTTCATAGTTGTCAAGTATCTAGATGTACTGTCATTAGTAGTATGATGATATGATCTCTAGTTAGTTATCAAAGTTTTATGCCATCTTTTGTAATATAAAGAAATTTTAGGGCCATGAATTTCACCCATCAGTCAAGTGCATACTATTGCATTTGTTATTGCACGTTTGAAAAAAAAAAAGGATATTGCACATTCTTTTACCAAAAACTGCACGATAAATAGGACAACCAATAGCAAATGTAAACAACAGATTGGGAAGTTAGGACAGTCCTAAAGAGTAGTTTGTTAGTGTTAGTTAGGATAGAACACAGAAATAGCAGTAGAAAGAGTGTAGACTGTCACTCGGGCAAGTGATGAAGTATACTTCCCCAAGTGAGCAGACAGAATCTGCCGTAATACCTCTCTTCTCTATTCTATCCTCTAACTTTTTGAGCTTTATCAAGTTTAATTTTTTGTACTCTGTTA